AATGAAGATTTTCCTGGGAGAATGGAGACAGGATTGCTGAATGGCTATCTGTCCCCCCACCCCCAGTCCGGCGGTGCTTTCTTACTTCTTCTCTCTCATTGTCTCTCTACCTTTCTCCAGTGAGCACACGTGCCCTATAGAGCAAGTTAAAAAAAAAAAATGGGACCAGCAGATGGCATAGTGGTTAAGGTGCCAGACTCCCACATGGTCAACCATGGTTTGAGTCTTGGACCCAGCGGCTTGAAATTCATGTGGGGCACACGTGTGTGCGTGCTCAAAATCGCAGGAGGAGAATGGAGGAGAAGGGATTGGGGCGTGGCCAACCCCCTGGTAGGTGGAGGGGAGTTGGGGAGTATTTCTCACATTCCCTCTCACCGTCTCTCTGGCACATGTACATGCCCTATGGCAAAAACCTAAACAACAACAACAAATTTAAATTACAGGTATGAATGATAGACGTGGGCCTACCTTGAACCCCACACCAAAGACCCATTTAGGGACCCCCCCAGTGCAAGTCGCCTCGGGGTCAGTCAACCAAGTGACTTCTGCCAGAGCCATACGCCCTCTCAGGAGGCACAAGGAGGAAAGCGGTGAGACTGCTGGGAAGGCAGAGAGCAAAAGGCGGGAACTCCTGTCCCTGGGAGCAGGGATCCTGTCCCTGGGAGCAGGGACTTGCTGATTCTCCTCAGAAGTCATCAGAACTTTCTTCTCATCATCTCTCACCTCTGCAGCTCAAGCTTTTTACATTAAATTTAATTTTTAAAATTTTACTATTACACTAAAATGGAAACTGGCTAGAGTCACAGAAAAGAAAGATTATTTTGAAAAATTGTTTTGAATGGTCTCTGCCACAGTGAACTAAAGAATGACTTTTTCAAAAGAATGTTTTTGATGACCCGGAGCCAGTCCTGCCACCAAGTGGGGATCCAACACCAGCCAGCCTGGAACCCCAAATTCCTTTCAATGATTTCTTCTGTCAATTTTTACCCTCTTCATTTTGCTCATTTAAAACTGACAACCTTCACAGATTTAAAAGGAACCGTTTAAAAAGAAACAAAAGCTCTAAAAGCACCACTAAAGGACTTCAAAGGAACATCAGCAGCCCTGACGTGAGGAACCCTGACAGGGATGTCAACAGCTCGCTGAGACAGACATGCAGGGGCCCCACCGCTTCCTCCCAGTGAATCACAGAGCTCTTCTCGACTCACTGAAGTGCTTGCTTGTTGTCATTTTAATTTTATGTCTGTATTGGAAAACATTCACGCCATAAAAAATTCAAAAGGTTCTGAGGGTAAACAGTGAAAACTCTCCTACGTGGGGGCTGGCAGGTGACACGGTGGCTAAGGGTGCGGGACTCCCACATGGCTGACAGTGGTCTGAGTCCTGGACCTGGTGGCTTGCTTTCTCGCTTTCTCTCACATGCGCTCTCCCTTGCTCTGTTTCTCTCTGGTCAAATTAATATAAATAAGGTTGAATAAATTTTTTTTTTTAAAGAAAAGTCTCCTAAATGATTCTGCTGGCTCACCAGGCCCATTCCCAGAGGCAACCGTTGACCTTTTCTTGTAAATCCCTAGAGAAATATTTTATGCAGAGACTAACAGTTACCTATATAAGGTTGTCAGGAAAGCCAGGACGTATTCTTCTATGCAGAAAGGAGTCATGTCTTTCTGGACAACCCAATACATTCTCCCCATCTATACAGTGTATCCCATCGCCTCGTTACAGCAATGGCGTGCGCTTTATTCCACTTAGCACAGCGTATCATAGAGGTCAGAGCATGTCACTACATACGGCTTCTCATTCTTTTTTTAAGCTTACTATAGGGCCTGTGCAATTGCTAGAGGGAAACAGAGAGAAAGAGACAGAGAGAGAAATTATCCCCCAGAGGGGATGGCCACACCTCAATCCCTTCTCCATTTTCCTCGCAGGACTTTTTGGGCACGCACACACATGCGACGGGCATGAGTTTCCAAGCCACTGGGTCTGGGACTTGAACTGTGAAAGTAGGCCATGTAGGATCCGGCTACCTTTACCTCCGTACATCTGCTAGCCCTCTCACCCGTTTGTAATCGGCATTCTGTTCCGTCACAGGATATACCCTAAGATATTCACGGGGTTCCTTATTGAAATGGACTTCAGCTTGTTTCTTGTGTTACTTTCATTCCCTTCTTACCTGCAACTCTCTGAGCAAATCTGACTGCCTCTTCAACAGGGTCTGAGTTCACCACTTGGTCTAGAATACCCAGCTTCAGTGCTTCGCCTGCCAAAACGTGTCTTCCTGAAACAACACAACAACCAAAAAGGTGAGGTTAAAGCCAAAGCATTACTCTCTAGTGGGGGTGCTTGTCCGGATGTAAGTATCTATCATTCGATAAAATAAATAAGGAATACACTGATCGTGACAGTAGAAAGGTTAGTGCAGAAGTCATGAGAAAACGTAAATTCAATCTTCAGCTCTTCTTACTGCCTGGTGACTGTGAACAACTATGGCAGGACCACAATTTCCACACTGATACATGGGAATAATTATGCTTACGTCGGTAATTCTGAGCATTCAGTAAGGAGAGTACAGTGTCTGTACATTTTATAACTGGATGGAAACATTCCCTACATGCTAACTGCACAGAAGTAGATGAGGCTTTTTGATAGTATTAGAAGTGGTGGCACCACAGTGCTGGCAGCAACATGGGTTCTGGTTGCATAGAAAAGAGACAGACAGGCAGACCCCAGGCATAAACGTAGTCGGTCAAGTTGACACTGGATAAGGTATAATCAGAATTACACAGGACAAATGGGCAGGTTTCCACCTTTTTGTGGGTATCCAGCATTCCAACCCTTCCTCAGTTTGTGAAATCATATGTGTGCTTTGGAGCCCTGACTCCTGCTCCAGAAGCTGCCAAGGAAGTGGAGACGATTAGACAACTGTTCCTTTAAACCCGTGGCAGCTGGGCGGAGCCCATGCTCCAAGCTCAGTGAACCAAGTGCTCTCTGGAGGGCTTTTAGCCTGGAGTTAGGGATCCTAAGCAGCAGCAGCATCTCCATGCCATCTCACAGGTGCTAACTCCTAGTGTCCGGTGGTGTCTGACACCGGCAGTTCAGAATGGCAGTGCTAGAGGGGTCCAGGTCAATGGGGTTTGCACTGCTCCTAAATTCTACCTCGGCCATTCTTGGCCAGTTGTAAATATGTCATTTGAGCTGCACATTCCAAAAGTAGGGATTTGGGGATACAAGACTCCCTTACCACATGTCGAGAGGAAGACGACGATGACACACTGCTTGCTTTCTAGCACCTTCTCACCTGATGAACCATCACCAAAATAGTCTTGGTGGCTACAGTCCCAGTCTTCACTGCTCTGACAGTGTGGGTGGTGCCACCTACCCTCCACTCTGGTTCTTACTGGTGCTGTGGACATGGGTTTGCTTGATCAGAGGGCTCAGTAATTTGGAATGGTCTCTCTGAAAAAGCTATAGCTGGGCAGGTTTCTAGAAATGTCTTTGAAAACAAGTTTCCAGATCTCCTCCTGGAGTGATGCAGACGTGAGAAGTGGGTGGGTGGTGTCACGGGGCAGGTATCCCGGGCATAAAATTACTTGGGAGAGGGGTGAATGAATCAGCTTGAGGGGACCAGATGGAAGATAAAAATGTGGGTTTTAAAAGGATATTTGGGGGGCCGGCAGATGGTGTGGTGGTTAAGGGCACTGGACTCCCACACTGCAGTCTGCGGTTCGAGTCCCAGACCTGGCATTTTGTTTTCTCACTTTCTCTCTCTCTCTCTCTCTGTCCCTCTCGGGTCAAATTAAAATAAATAAATACATAAATAAAATAAAGTACAATAAAATTATTCTTTTTAAAAAAGGATATTTGGAGGGGAAACATGATGAACTGAAAATCCCTTTAACTATAATGATTTCTTCTGCTGTAGATTTCATAAAAATGGAAGAGTACATGGGCCAGCAGGTGGTGTGGGTACTGGATTCCCACATGGCTAACCATGGTTTGAGTCCTGGACCTGGTGGTTTGAAAATCATGCCAGGCATGTGGACATGTGTTCCCAAAAGTCCCGAGAGCAGAATGATGGAGAAGGGATTGCGGTGTGGCCACCCCCCGGGGGTAATTTATCACTTTTCCTTTTTCTGCCTCTCTCCAGTGTGCACACACACCATATGGCAGAAACCTAAAAAAATAATAATAATAACCACTACTGTCTTAGAGTCCATGAGATTTTAAGTACTTTTATTCTGCTTCAAAGAACTAAAGACCTAAAGACACAGCTCCCAACATCCACTCCAAGTCTCAAACTAGGATTTCAACTTCTTTTTATTTTTAGAAAAGTGTATTTTATTCATGATAGAGAGTGCATGGCTGCAAACTAGAGAGACAGAGAGAGAGAAGCACCCTTGATAAGGCCTCACCATGCCCCCACCCACCCCTGGCCTTCCACTCAGGGTCTGGATGCACGCACACGCCCTGCATGTTCTCAGGCCGGCCTAGGGATCCAAACCTGCTGCTCCCTGTGGCTCCCCCCACTGCAGTTCAGTTTGCTACCAACAGTGCCACCAGACTCGGCCTTAAACTTGCTTTCTCTGTGCTGCTTTCAATGGAGATGCCAAGCACCACCTGGGTAGGTCTATGCTAGGGAGGCCCCAAGGCAACTCACTCAGGCCAACTGTCTTCTCTGAACTGGGCACTGCAATTGTTTCCAATCTCTTTGGCTTCTTTTTCAACTTAAAAAAATTTTTTTCTCCATAGACTCCCTTCCAGATGTCATTCTAAAGTCCCTGTAAAATTGTACAGACTACTCAGGAGGCTAGGTGTATAATTCTGATAGCTTACTTCTGATTCACTGTGACCTTTTCTATGCAAATAAAAAAATCCATTATATTCTTATTGTTTTGACTTCTCTTCATCGTGTTAAAAATAATCATGTTTAAGCAGTGATTTGAGCAAAAAGGCCAATCCTAGTTCATTTCTTTTTGACAAAGAAGCCAGTTTTCAATGTGATTTCCCAAAAGATACTGTTGATTTTCAGACTTAATTCTGGAAATAGGGCCACAAAAACCCTCGACATTCCCCCACATGTTTTCATGTCTGTAAACCTCAGAATTCACAGACTCACTTCATACCGTTACGGTTTCCTCCTATGTTTTATATTTCTTTGCTCCTTCCTATTTTGTCTTTGGCAGAATAAATTATTTCATGCGCTTTAAATTTCTGTAGTATGCTGAATGGTAAGGATCCTCTTCAGAATTCTACATTAGAATTCTTAAGCTAGCTCACAGTCTTTAAGATGTACTTAGTAAATCTTTGTAAAGTAAAATAATTTCTAACTTTATTTATTGAAGGAAAGAAATAAAATACTTTAAGTTTTTCTAACTCTTCTTTCACATTCCATAGGATTTATGGAATACACACCCCTTTTAAAAGGGAAAAAATGAACACATATAGACTCATTTTCTCTATTAAAGAATTATTTATTTTAATTTCATTTGTTCATTCATTTATTTAAATTTGACCAGAGAGAGACACAGAGAGAAAGAGAGGGAAGGTGAGAAAGCAAACCGCCAGGTCCAGGACTCAAACCATGGTCAGACATGTGGAGTGTCCAGCACCGTAACCACTACACCACCTGCTGGTCCCCCTCATATTATTTTCTAATCTGGCTTAAGTGAACACATTTCTATATCATGGTTTCTATGTCAAAACATTACAGATTTCTACTAGCAATTCTTAAAGTGTTTAATTTTAGAACCCAATGCACTCTTAAATTTTTTTGGAGGATTCCAAAGAAACATTTGTTTTTACAGGTTATATACAATGTATTAGAAATTAAAGCTGAAAACTTTAAATGTGTTTACTAATTCATTTAAAATAACAGTGATAAACTCATTACATGTTAACCAACAGATTTTATGCAAAATAACCTCATTTATGAAATATTAAAAATGTAGTGAGAAGAGTACCATTATTTTATACATTTTTAAGATAGAGGGGCACGTATTCACATGGGAGGAAGAAGGAGAGTGAGAAGTTCCTTCAACAGGGTCTCGTCACGCTGAATCCCCTTTCTCTAGCCCTCCAGATCTTTAGGATTCTGGGTGTCCACACACGCCTGGCATGTTTTCGGGCCACATAGGGATGTGAACCCGGGGCCAGCCATATGTCTTCCAGCCTTGCCGGGCACGGATGTCACTACTGCACCACAGCAGCGAGGCGCATTTTGCAAATTATTTAATGTCTCACTTAACAGAAGACAGCTGGATTCTCGTATTTCCTTCTGCATTCCTTCTGTTGTGCTGTCACATGGTGTGATACCCTCTGAGAAATGCTACGTGTGTCTGTAAGGGAATGTGGAAAAGGCATGGAATGTCTTGCTCTGAAGAGAGGTCACGACCTCATGGACGCAGCTGTGGTCCCAGACATAACCAGAAGCCCGCTGCCCACACTGTAAGGGCCTCTGATGTAGACTATCATTATAGCGTCTACACAGCATCCTAGAGTGTGGATGTTCCATAGATTTAGCATTTATTTGTAACTGGAGTGAGGTTAGTGTCTTTGAAAGTAACAGTTCGTTTTATTTGTTTTTCTCCTTTGGCAGCTATGGGATTCTATTTCCTGGAAATACAACATCTTTACCAAGATACATCAAAGCACTGTTATCTCCTCATCAGTTTTTGCAAGAAAAGAGTGTGTCTGCTAAAGTATAATCTTTGATTCTATTTTATATCTGAAGGCTTCTATTCTTTATTTGGTTAGTGTTTCTTTCCTTCTCGGCTTTGTACTTTGGAACTTTTATTATTGCTGGCAGAGACCTCGCTTATGTACCTTCCATGCCTGCTGCCTTCATTTACATTTTCTTTATCTTTCTGTTAAATTCTCCTGAATTCGATAAATGCAGCTACTTATCCCCTATGTTGCTGATGCAAATGTCTAGTCTATTGTGCCTTCTTTTTATTGCTTCAAAAACAAATTACTGTAGGTAATGCTTTTAATGTTTATTTGGTGTTTCCATTTAATAAAAAGTATTTTTAAATTTAGACAAATAAGAATTTTCAGAAGTTTTTCTTTTCTTTAATCTGTTTCAGCAGACAAATTGATGTTTCATTTTTAAAATGTCATAGAACATTTTCATAGATCTTTTAGGTTTTGGGTTATTTTAGTTTTAAGTTCCTTTCTTTCTTTAGGATGGATTACTTATATAATTTTATTTATTATTTTATTATTTTTTTAAAATTTGCTACAGGGGACCAGCAGTTGGCGTAATGGCTATGTCGCTGGACTCCCACGTAGTCGACCGTGGTTCGAGTCCTGGACCCGGTGGCTTAAACTCATGCCGGGTGCGTGTGCGTGCGTGCCCAAGATCCCGAGAGGAGAGTGGAGGAGAAGGGACTGCGGCGTGGCCATCCCCCCTGGGGGGTGATTTCCTGCTTTCTGTCTCTCTGTCTCTCTCTGTCTGTCTGGCGAGTGCACACGCCCTATAGCAAAAACCTCTCCAAAAAAAAAAAATTTGCTACAGGGCACATGTATTCACTGGAAAGAGACAGAGAGAGAGATAAGGAGAGGGAGATAGCACCCTCCAGTGGGGAATGGTCATGCTGCAATCCCTTCTCCTCCATTTCTCTGCCTGCTGGGATTTGGAGCACACACACAAACATGGACCACCTGGTATGCTTTTCAAGCTGCCAGAACCAGCATTCAAACCACAGTCAACCAGGTGAGATCCAGCTCTTTTTTTTTGGAGCAGTTTTTGCTATAGGGCGTGTGTGCTCACCAGAAAGACAGAGAGAGACAGAGAGACAGAAAGTGAGAAATGGCCACGCCGCAATCCCTTCTCCTCCATTCTCCTCTCAGGATCTTGGGCACGCACGCAAGCACATGTGCCTGGCATGAGTTTAAGCCACCAGGTCTGGGACTCGAACCATGATTGACTACATGGGAGTCCGCGACGTAGCCATTACGCCATATGCTGGTCGCAGAGATCTGGCTCTCTTTACTAAGCTACGAGGCCAGCCCTCCACTTTACATATTTTTATTATAATACGCAGAGTGATCTTTTTAAAAATATAAGTGAGAATATGTTACTCCTCCACTGGAAACACTCCAGTGCCTTTCTACCTCGTTCAGAAGAAAAGCTAAACTTCTCTCTATAACATTGAAGACCCTCCAAGATGTGTCTTCCCCTATTACCCTTCCCCTTACTTCACTCCAACCGCAGTCGGTTTTGCTATTCTTTGAACATTTCAAGTACACCTCTGCCTTTGGCCTTGCAACCACTGTTCTCTCTGTGTGGAATATCTCCCTCCAGATACCAGCATAACATAAGCTTCCTTCCCTCCTTCAGGTCTTCGTTCAGATGCCACTTTGTAGGGAAGTTCTGCAAGTCACCCTAACCCATCATCCATCACTAACATTTTCTACCCCCGCCCCCGTGTTTAGTACTTACCTCCACATAACCTGCTATAGACTGCTTATCTAAGAGGGAGGCGTATGTGTGTAGACAGTTGTAAAAGCTCGTCTGCAGTGGGAACACTCCGCTATGAGTCTGGTCTCTTGGTATTCAAGGACCTGAACAGAGACTTGTATACCCAATAGGGTAGTTCAGAAAAGAGGTGTGGGACTCCAAAGCTAGGTCACAGAAGACATTGTGGCTTTTACCTGGCTTGTTATTAGATCTCTCACTCTATAGGAAGCCAGCCGCCATGCTGTGAAGATACTCAGCTCTACAGAGAGGTCCATGTGGAAAGTAAATGAAGCTCCTGTGAGTCAGTACCAACTAGCCACCCAAGTGACTGAGCTATCTTGGGAACAGACTCCCAGTCCCAGCCAAGCTTTCAGAAAACTATGCCCTACTTGATGTCTTCACTGCAATCTCATGAGAAACTCTGAGCCAGAACCCACTAAACGACTCCAAATTCCTGACCCACAGAAACTAGAAAAGAACAACAACAACAACAAAAAAAAAATGCTAATTAAACCATGGTTCATAATGAGGCATCCCAATTTCAAAGACATGGGGGATGTGCCTTTTTTTTTTTTTTTTTAGAGGTTTTTGCTATAGGGCTTATGCACTCGCCAGAAAGACAGAGAGAGACAGACAGAAAGTGAGAAATCAACCCCCAGGGGGGATGGCCACACCGCAATCCCTTCTCCTCCATGCTCCTCACAGGATCTTGGGCACGCACACACACGTACCCAGTCTGAGTTTAAGCCACCAGGTCTGGGACTCGAACCGCAGTTGACTATGTGGGAGTCCAGCGACATAGCTATTATGCCAACTGCTGAGCCCAGAATATGCATTTTTGAGTCAACAAAATGTGACAATGATGATTACTGCTGTGATTGTTGTTTTCTCCATATAATTTCTAGGAGGGCCAGAATTTTTGTTGGCTAAATGCCTGGAACAAGGTCCAGCATACGAGAGAAAACAGTTGCTGGATGAATGAATAAAAGGCATTTGTATAGGCATATTGTTTATATGTGATAGAGCTGAGATTTGAACCCAGTTCTTTGATTCTAAAGCTTATGATTTTTTTTTTTTTGAGAGGTTTTTGCTATGGGCATGTGTGCTTGTCAGAAAGACAGAGAGAGACATAGAGACAGAAAGCGAGAAATCACCCCCCAGGGGGGATGGCCACGCTGCAATCCCTTCTCCTCCATTCTCCTCTTGGGATCTTGGGCATGCATGCACACGCACCTGGCATGAGTTTAAGCCACCGGGTCCAGGACCCAAACTGTGGCTGACAACATGGGAGTCCAGCGACATAGCCATTACGCTAACTGCTGGCCCCAAAAGCTTATGATCTTTTTATTGTCAGTTCTTCAGGATATGGTCTAACACCAAGATCTTCAGCTTAGTTTTCCTCAGTCTTCCTCTTCGAAGACAGATATGGATATAATAATGCATACCTAAGAATTATGGAGTTATTACCCTGCTGTTCTAAGCATACTATATATATGAATCTATTTATATATATGAATCTATTTCATCTTCCCCACACCCCCAAATGGTAGGCACTGTTAGTATTCACATTTATAAGGAAGCTAAGGCACAGAGTGTGAAGTGACTGACCCAAGGCCTCATAACTGCCTGTGCCTATTTGGAATAAATGGTCGTCTACATCCTTTTCTCCAAACTTAACTCAATTGAAAGCCTCTTTATATTTCTACAGATAATGAGTTTTGGGTAATTCCAGGGTCTCTAAATGTCATGCTGTTCACATTCCCTCATGAGAAAGATCAAGTTCCATTTGTAGCTAATATTTTAGCATTTGGAAATAAAAAATGCAGTCATTTCCACACAAAAACTTGAACATTTGTCTTCAAAATTCTGGTTTAAATTCTTATTTATATTACAATTTTTAAAGTGAGTTTGAATATCATGCATTGTATGTGAACCCTAGTGTCTAAGTGTCATCCTTTGAACTCTAATAAAAAAGCTTAAATTCCATTAGTGCTGGGAACCAGCAGTTAGCATAATGGCTATGTCGCTGGACTCCCACGTAGTTGACTGCGGTTTGCGTCACAGACCAGGTGGCTTAGAACTCACACCGGGCGCGTGTGCGTGCGTGCCCAAGATCCCGAGAGGAGAATGGAGGAGAAGGGATTGTGGCGTTACCATCCCTCCTGGGGGGTGATTTCTCACTTTCTGTCTCTATGTCTCTCTCTGTCTGTCTGGCAAGCACACGCGCCCTATAGCAAAAAACCTCTCCCCCCAAAAAAAAGAAAAAAAAAATTCCATTAGTGTTTTACATAAAGTTTCATTTAGAAGATTCTCATATTTGGTCTTTGTGGTATTGTTGGAAAGCTCTCACCATTTTACAGATGAGAAAACTGAGAGTCACAGAAGTTAAAGATTCCTTCCATGGGTGGTAAGTGTCAAGCCAGGGTTTCTCCAAACTCTAGTGTGGTTCCCCATGTTGATCTAGACAGTCGGCAAAGTTTGTACTGACCTGAAGTAATTAAGTCAAGAGCTGCAGGAACTCCAGTGAGTCTGGGGAGAAGCTGGGTTCCTCTTGCTCCAGGTAAAAGTCCTATAGAGACTTCTGGGAAGCCAACTCGAGCCTAGCAAAGGATGAAGGCATGAAGGCCGCTGGATGTGGTAACATGTTTAGAGTTAAGGCAAGCATTCCCCTGGATTGACCACATTATCAACAGCAGTGTCTTACTGAAGCTGACAGGACTGATAGGGCAAATCATTACACACGTCTCCTGTCATTAACAGCTTGAACAGGGCTGTGCTGTCTCTACATCTACACATGGAAACACACCTCTGTCTTCTTTCTCTCTGACCCTTTCATGACCTATCTCAGCCAACTAAACAATAATCTCCAGGACCAGCTTTATGAACCCTACAGGAGTCTGAAATTAGATCATTACGGGGCTCAGAGTGGAAGCTATTTACGACCAGGATGCAAGTCGTTCAGCCTTTTAACAGTCAGCACCCGAACGCTCTGTAACAGCCGAACGCCAGCGCTAGAGATTACCCGAGAGTCGTTAACCAGCAAAGCTGACCGTTTCATCACCTTCGATGCTTATAACTAATTAAGAGTTTCCCCTAAAGAAAAGCCCCCCACACCAAGCCCCACATAGCACCACAGCTGTTACCTTGGCATGGGCAATCCTATAGTGACAGCCCAGGGCCAGCTCTAGCCCCCCTCCGAAAGCCATGCCTTGAATAGCTGCCACCACGAGCTTCTCAGTTCTCTGCAGTTCATCCACGAACAGTCCAAATGTGTCATTGGTCCTGGGAGTTTTGAAGTCATGGATGTTAGCACCTAAGGACACAAGCAAGACAAGGAGGAAAGAGGGTTGAGAAAGACTTGCACTTTGATATACGACAACAAGGGACCTGAAAATGCTTAAGAAATCCCAGACCTCATCCTCTGGTTGGAGATACACAGTGAAAACATAGAAGGATATGGGAAAAAAAAACTCAAATCTTTACTAGGAACATTGTAATCTTCTAAACTCTGTCTTTCCATATGATAAGTAGCAACTTTATCTTCAGAAAAATTAAAAAGCTCAAGAAGCACAGTGTACCAAGATGGTGGCCCCCGTGGATCTGGAGTTGAAGAAGGCTTTTACAGAGCCTCAAGCTGAAGTTATTAACACTCAACAGAAGGTGAAGCTTGCAAACATACAGACTGAACAGCTAAACAGAACGAAGGAACATGCACATCTTACAGATACAGAGATTAGGACTTTGGTAGATGAGACTAATATGTATGAAGGTGTAGGAAAAATGTTTATTATTTTTTCTTTTTTCTTTTTTTTTTTTGAGAGGTTTTCACTATAGGGCGCGTGCACTCGCCAGACAGACAGAGAGACAGAAAGCCAGAAATCACCCCCCAGGGTGGATGGCCACACCGCAATCCTTTCTCCATTCTCCTCTCGGGATCATGGGCACGCATGCACACGCGCCCGGCGTGAGTTTTAAGCCACCGGGTCTGGGACATGAACCGTAGTCAACTACGTGGGAGTCCAGCGACATAGCCATTACGCTAACTGCTGGTCCCAAGAATGTTTATTCTTCAATCAAAGGAGGTATCAATCAGCTGCTAGAAAAACAGAAAACAGCAGAAGAAAAAAATTAAAGAACTAGAACAGAGAAAAAAATTCTATCTGGAACAGAGAGTTAAGGAAGCCGAAGACAATATCCGGGAGATGCTGATGGCCCGAAGGGCATAGGAGGGAATCTCTAGGGGAAGCTTTCCTCCTGAGCCCTCCCATTCCTGGCAAGCGTAGAAGGGCCTGCTGGTGAAACAGCTCCCCTTCACCCCAAAGGACACTTTATGTGGACGGCCTAGTATCCCCACATTTCCTTCATCACCTTGAGCCCCTTTTAGGTCCCAGCCTTGTATGTTTTATCCTGGCTCTGCCCACCACCCCTGCCTGGAACTTCTCTCTCGTGATCTGAGTCCTGAACTCCTAGGAGAGGGCAAATGGGAGCCAGCACAAAGGCACGCTCCACCTAAGCTACTAGACACTCTGGTCCAACCAATAAAGGCCCTGGTCTCACTGTGAGGAAAAACAAAAACAAAAAAGAAAGAAAGAAAAGAAAAATTAAAAAGTTCAGCGGAATTGAACAGGGATTCCCCTGAAAAGCTATTGTTCTGAGACTGTGTCAACCCCCTCTCATTTTTTGTGTGATATCGCTCATCAACTCTAGTCCTGGCAATTCAGCTCTTTATCTTTGTTAAGAGCATGAGTTGTGGGACCAGCAGTTAGCATAATGGCTATGTCACTGGACTCCCATGTAGTCGACCGTGGTTCGAGTCCCGGACCCAGTGACTTAAACTCACACCAGGTGCGTGTGCGTGCATGCTCAAGATCCCGAGAGGAAAATGGAGGAGAAGGGATTGCGGCATGGCCATTCCCCCAGGGGGTGATTTCCGGCTCTCGCAATCTTCCAATGAGCACACATGCCCTATAGTGAAATAAATACATACGTAAGTGGTTGTCTGAGAAGTAAAGACATATTTTTTGGTTTTTCTATGCAAGAAATATTTATAATATTGAAAGTATGCTGCAAAATTTATTTATATTTTTCATGACATTATACCTAGTAAGTTATTTCCTATGGCATTGCCTATTCTTTGGAAATCTTTTTTTTTTTTTTTTTTTTTTTTTAAGATTTCTACTATAAGATGTGTGTGCTCACTGGAGAGCCAGAGAGACAGAAAGAGAGAAATCACCCCCAAGGGGATGGCCACGCCACAATCTCTTCTCCATTCTCTTCCTGGGATTTTGAGCACACATGCACATGTGCCTGGCATGAGTTTTAAACTGCTGGGTCTGGGACTTGAAAAGTGGTTGACTACATGGGAGTCCAGCGACATAACCCTTATACAACCTGTTGATCTCTGTTCTTTGGAAATCTACAGCTTGGTACAAAATTTTTAATTTAAAGTAGGTCAACTAGTGGTGGTTAAGGCAGCTGGATCCCACATGGCTAACTGGTTCGAATCCCAGACCCAGAAGTTTAAAAAACATGCCAGCCACGTATGCGTGGGTGCTCACATTCTAGACAGTAAAATGGAGAAGGGGTTGTGGCCTGAGCGTCCCCCATGGAGGCAGGGCAGGTGTCTTCCCACTTCCCCTCTCTCACTCTGTCTCCCTCCAGTGAGCGCAAGCATTCTCTGACAAATGTCTTAACAATTATTATTTCGTGTTCAGCTTGTTGATCTGTATTTGTTCTTTCTCCCTTTTTCCTCTTTGGTACCTGCTCCTAGTTTAGCATCAATTCAGGGAATATGCTCTTTCTCCTCACCAATCTACCAGGTTTTACTTAGTTCAGTGCTTTAGCTTGCTTTTTAGATCTTCTTGGATCTGGAGAAAATCAATTTTTAAAAAATATATATTTTTTTAAATTTAGCTTATTCTCCTCTTGGGATCTTGGGCACACACACACACACGCACTCGGTGTGAGTTTTAAGCCACCGGGTCCGGGACGTGAACTGCGGTCGACTATGTGGGAGTCCAGCAACATAGCCATTACGCTAACTGCTGGTCCCTATTTATTTATTTTTTTAATTTGACCAGAGAGGGACAGAGTCAGAGAGAGAGAGAGAAGTGAAAAAGCAAGCTGCCAGATATGGGATTCAAACCACAGTCAGTCACGTGGGAGTCCAGCGCCCTTAACCACCATGCCACTTGCTGATGAGAAATCAATTTTTTAAAATAATTATTTATTTAATTTTATTTATTCATTCAATCATTTATATTTGACCAGAGAAAGCCAGACACACAGAGAGAAGGAAAGTGAGAAAGCAAACCTCCAGGTCTAGGACTCAAACCATAGTAGGCCATGTGGGAATGTCCAGCACCTTAACCACCATGCCACCTGCTGGCCCCAAAAAAATCAATTTTATTTTGAGTTTCAAGTCTATTGCTTCTGTAGCTTTAGATTGAGATGGTTCTTTTTTTTTTTTTTTTTTTTTTTAGAGGTTTTTTGGTTAAGGGATGTTTGCCAGAAAGACAGAGAGACAGAGAGACAGAAAGTGAGAAATCACCCCCAGGAGGGATGGCCATGCTGCAATCCTTTCTCCTCCATTTTCCTCTTGGGATCTTGGGCACATATGCACATGTGCCCAGCATGAGTTTAAGCCACCGGGTCTGGGACTCGAACCATGGTCGACTACAGGGGAGTCCAGCAACGCAGCCATTACACCACTGCCAGTCCCGAGATGGTTCTTATGTATTAACAGAAAGTCACATATATTGGACAAGTACATCAGGTACTGTGGTAAGTAATTTGATTTATTGTCAAATTAATAAATCAAATTAAATTGTCATTTAATCTTCACAACACCTAGGTTAAATAGTATAACAATCCCATTTTAGGTAAAGAAGTGAAGGCTTTGAGATTAAATGACAAGTTTAGACATACAGTTAGTAACTAGTAGAGCAAAATTTGAACTCAGTTTGACTACAAAGACCACATTCTTAAATGCCATACCACATTTTTTTAACTTATAGCGTAATATTTGTGTTATTATTATCCCAATTTTCCAGAAACTATAGCACAAAAGCACACCAATTTCACTTTGACATAAGAAAATCCAACCAATTTTTTTTTTTTTTTGAGAGGTTTTTGCTATAGGGCATGTGTGCTCACCAGACAGACAGACAGAAAGCGAGAAATCACCCCCCAGGGGGGATGGCCATGCCACAATCCCTTCTCCTCCATTCTCCTCTTGGGATCTTGGGCACACACGCACATGCACCCGGCGTGAGTTTTAAGCCACCGGGTCCGGGATGCGAACCACGGTTGACTACATGGGAGTCCAGCGACATAGCCATTATGCTAACTGCTGGTCCCCCAACCAATTTTTTATGTTGATTTTATAGCCAATGAGATTGCTAAATTATTTTCTTAAGTCTAATCATTTTCTGATAGATTATTTTGATTTTATAAAGCACTATCATATCTTCTGAATGACGAGTTTTCTTTACTTCTTGCCAGTCCTTATAACTCTTCTTTATTTTTCTAGCCATACTGGGCTGGCTAGGGTCTTGCCAAATAGAAATGGTGAAAGCAGTGAGCCTCAGCTTATCCCTTCTTTACAAATTTTCAACATATTATTTTGTTTGATGTTTCTTGAAGGTTTTTCAAAATAGGTGTCTTTTGACTAATTATGCCATTTCCTTTCCACACCTACTTCACTAGGAATTTTATCTTTCATGCATGTCAAATATTACTGAATGCTTTTTCTCTACCTCTTGAAATTATTACATGACTTCTCTCTTTAATCTTCTTCTTCAAATATTTGCTATAGGATGGATATGCATCCTGGAGACAGACAGAATGAGAAAGAGAAAAGGAAAGTGAGAAGGCACGGCCTCACCCCAATCCCTCCTCCTCCATTGTCCTCTTAGGATTTTGGACATGCACACGTAAATGCCTGATAATAGTTTTAGAGCCCTCATATCCTGAACTTGAACTGTGTAGTTGGTCATATGGGATCCAACAGCCTTACCCACCATGCCACTGGCTAACCTTCTCTTTCATCTTTTTTTTTTTTTTTATTTGTAGACATTTTTGCTTTAGAGTACACGCGCTCACCAGAGAGACAGAGACAGTAAGAGGGAAAGTGAGAAATTATCCTTCAGGGAGATGGCCGTCCCATAATTCCTTCTCCTCCTAGGATCTTGGGCACTCACACAAAGGTGCTGTCCTGAGTTGTAAGCCACCAGCTATGGGGCTCTAACTACAGTCAACCATGTAGGAGTCCAGCAATGTAACTGCTACGCCATCTGCTGGCCCTTTTCTTTAATCTTTTAATAGGCCATATTACATTGTTTTTCTAGTGTTCAACTAATCTGATACATCTAGGACAAAAGTGATACATTATGTCACTTGATATATTTTTCATAGATTATTAAGTCTGGCTTTACAACAAACTAAGATTATTGTATTGTCAATGGAAATAACCACCTCTGCAGAAATAATAATTAATGTGGTTTATTTCTTTTTTTTCTTTTTGCTATAGGGTGCATGAGCACGCCAGAAAAACAGAGAGAGACAGAGAGAGAGAAAGTGAGAAACCACCCCCCAAGGGAGATGGCCACACCGCAATCCCTTCTCCTCCATTCTCATTTAGGGATCTTGAGCACGCATGCACACGTGCCTGGCGTGAGTTTAAGCCACCAGTTCTTGGACTCAAACTGCAGTTGACTACATGGCAGTCCAGTGACATAGCCATTATGCCAACTGCTGGTCCCAATGTAGTTTATTTCTAAGCACAAATGTGCTTGACCAGGCACAAAGAAGAGGCAAGCATACCTTTTTTGGGGGTGATTAGATGCTTAGTTCCTTTTATTAGCTTTTAAGAGTGAGAAACAAGATTTGGGATTTAGTGAAAAGAATTTTCCCATTGGTCTGGCCCAAAAAAGAGAGACATCTGGAAACAGGGGGCTTGTGGCCATAGGTGGGTTTTACATTTCTTAGGTTGGTGATTGGAAAGGAAGGTCCGTGCTTCGGGAAGGTGTGAGCAGAGTGTACTGTAACAGAGATAAAGGGTTTGTATATGTCACATGTAGCAAGAGTCAAATGGTCTGTTAATGTTTGTGGGCTTGACTCACCCAGACCCTACGGAAGGGATTTTGGAAACAGGAAAAAGCAGTCAGACATCTGTCTTCAGTATCTTTATTTATGAGTGAAATTGGCATATAGCTTGCTCTTTCATACTGTCTCTGATAGGTGTTAGTATAAAAACTATGTGGGCCTCACAAAACGAGTTGGGATGAATAGTATACTGGGCTGAATAGTGGCAATCCAGAACCTGTGAGGGTGACCTCATTTGGAAACAGTCTTTAGATATAATCAAGCTAAAATGATAATAATGGATTAGGGTGGGCCTGTGTACACGCTGAGAAATTTACATACAGGGAACAAAACCATGTGAAGACTGCTGCAGAGACTGGGGTGGTGCATCTGCAAACCAAAGGTTGCCAGAAACCCCAGGCCCTACAAGAGGCAAGAAAGAATTCTCTCCTAGCCTCTGGAGGAAAAACTGCCTACTGGTATCTTCTTTATCGTGCAGTCTCCAGAATTGTGAGAGAATAAATTCCTGGGTTTTTTTGTTTTTGCTATAGGGCACATGCACCCATGAGAGAGAGAGGGAAAACAAGAAATCACCCCCTGGGAGCATGGCCATGCCACAATTGGTTTTGCTTTTGGTTTTTGCTATAGGGCACATGCACCCATGAGAGAGAGAGGGAAAACAAGAAATCACCCCCTGGGAGCATGGCCATGCCACAATCCCTTCTCCCAGGATTTTAGGCACACACATGCCCAGCATGATTTTCAAGCCACCAGGTCTGGGCCATGAACCCCAGATCTGGCCATGTGGGATCCAGTGCTTTAACCTCCACACTACCTGCTATGCTAGCCCAATTCCTGTTCTTTTAAGCCACTCAGTCTGTGGCAATTTGTTATGGCACTGCTGGGAAACTAATATAGAAAGTGTTCCCTCCTTTTTCATTCTCTAAATATGAACATTAAAGTGGATTTTTTTTTTTTTTTTTTACTTAATGGAGAGCTTGGCAATAAGTCCTCAGGACTCTGATGAACTTAATGAGAATTGGGCTTAAATTCCTTTGATGGTTATAGAAAGGACTACTTGCATCTTCTATTTCTTTTTGAGTCGATTATAGTAACCTATGATTTGTTACACATGTTCATAGTATCTGCATCATCTTTTAAATGGCTATAGCATCTACAGTGATATGGCTTTTATCATTCCTCATTTGCATTGTTTGTGCCTTCTCTTTTTTGCTTAATCTGTCTTTTTGACACTATTTTTCCTCGATTCACATTTTGTTTTAGTTCCCAGAAGGCATGTGCTAAAGAGACAGAGAGAAGGAGAGAGGAAGAGGGAGAAGGCATCCCCCACGGGGCAGGGTCACATTGCAATCCCTTCTCCATTTCTACATCTTGTCCATATTTTGGACATGCATGCACATATGCCTGGAATGTTTTCAAGCAGCAGGGCCAGGATTCAAACCTCATGGTCAGCCATTTGAGATCCGGCTCCTTACCACCAGACCACAGAGCTAGCCCTCCATACTTGCTTTTTATTTCATTAATTTCTCCTCTTTCTTATTTATTTCCTCCTACTGTACTGGGGTCTATTTTACTGTTTAACTTGCCAGTTTTTTGATATAGATGCATAGCCCATTATAGTTCAGCCTTTTTTCTTTTCCAATGTATACGTTTTCGGATGCTGTTTAGTTTTGCTACAAGGTGCAATCATATGCCAGAGAGACACACAGAGAGAAGTGAGAAATCACCTTTCAGGGAGGATGGCCGTGCTGCAATCCCTTCTCAATTCTCTCAAGATTTTGGGCCCACACGTATACATATCAGGTGCGTTTTCAAGCCACTGAGTCTGAGAATTGAACTGCAATCAGGGTTGTGGGATCCAGTTGCCTTAACCACTATGCCACTGGCTGGGCCTACTATATACTTTATAAAGATTTGCTAGAGGGCACATGCACTTACCAGAGAGAGAGAGAGAGAGAGAACGACCAAGTGAGAAAGCGCCCTCTGTGGTGGATACTCATATCACAATCCCTTATCTGCCGTTTCCTTTGGGGATTTTGGGCATGCATGCACATGTACCCGACATGCTTCCCATGCCGCAGGGATCAAGACTCAAAAAGTGCAACTGGCCATATGGGATCCAGCCACCTTAACCGCCATGCCGCAGGGCTGCCCTGATTATATGCTAAGTTTTACTCTGGCTGCAATGACTCCAGTTTTATATGTTTTCATTGTCTCTGAGTTAAAAATATTTTCTAAATTCTATTATGATTTCTGTTTTGATTCCGAGGTTATTAAGAAATAAATTTAATTGGTAAACACATGAGAATTACTAGTTACAATGTCAGTATTGGTTTCTAGCTGAATTGTATTGTTGTCAGAGAACATACTCTAAATGAAATTTATGAAGACAAGCTTTTGGGGACCAGCAGTTAGCATAATGGCTATGTCACTGAACTCTCATGTAGCCCATCGCGGTTCAAGTCCCAAACCCAATGGCTTAAACTCACACCGGGCGCGTGTGCGTGTGTGCCCAAGATCCCCAGAGGAGAATGGAGAAGCAATTGCGGTGTGGCCATCCCCCCTGGGGGGGTGATTTCTCGCTTTCTGCTTCTTTGTCTCTCTCTCTCTTTCTGGCAAGAGCACATGCTGTATTGCAAACACCTCTCCAGAAAAAGACAAGCTTTTATGATCCAGTATCTGGTCAATGTTTCTAAATATTTCAGATGTGTTTGAGAAGAATGCATACTTTTCAGTCTGGGGGTGAATTAGTCTATGTAATTACATTAAATCAAGTTTGATCATCTCTGATGATAATCCCTAATTCTAGAAGAATAATTTTTTTCTGCCCTTGAGCTCTAACTACATTTTCTCTTCCATTACCTCTCTCTCTCACACACACACACAAAATCAAGTCTACATAATCCTGATCCCTCTTTCTATGTCTCAAAGTCACTATCTTGGACTCTGAACCTTCAGTTTCCAAACGTGGAGTGCTGTGGTTGTCCCCTCCTAAACTCATGCTGAAATTCAATCCCCATTGTAGGGACCAGTAGATGGCATAGCGGTTACATCACAGGACTCCCCCAGAGCCGACCACAGTTTGAGACCTGGACCCAGTGGCTTGAAAATCACTCTGAGCACATGTGTGTACGTGCCCAAGATCCTGGGAGGAGAATGGAGGAGAAGGGATTGCGGCATGGCCATCCCCCCTGGGGGGTTATTTCTCGCTTTCTCTCTCCTTGTCTCTGTCTGTTTGGCGAGCACATGCACCCTATAGGAAAAATCTCTAAAAAAAAAAAAAAAAAAAAAAAAAAAGACCCTTAAAATATATTTTATTAATATTATAACCTTTAAAAATGTGTATGTGTTTGTGTGTATTTTCTTGTCAGTGAGTACATGCATTTGACAGAGAGAGAGAGAGAGAAACCCCCTTCCCAACGAGGCATGGTAACCAACTTCCCCTCTGTCACTGCTCTGTCCTGTCAGGATTTGGGGTACACAGGCACAGGTACCCAATATGTTCCTCAAGTCGCTGGAGTCAGGACTCAAACTGTGGTCAGTCATATGTGATTAAGAGAGACAGACAGACAGACGAGAGCAAACGCGGGCAGAGCCTTTATGCCACCATCCCCCTCCCAGGCGTGCAGCCGGCCAGGGCCAGATGTGCACACAGGCGTGGCTGATGTGCTCGGGGAGACTCGGGATACACACCGAGAGCTTTCCCACGCGGCCTCCAGCTCTGCACAACAGCACCCCGATGCTGAGCAACCACAGCTGGGCCGCTCTTCAGTAATTTGATAAAGTTTATTTATTTAAAGATAGATGTCCTTACTCCTACCTCATAAATACAGAACCAGACGCTCGGGAGATGAAAAAGACTCACCCAAGTGGAGACATACGCGGGGCGAGTTGACATCAGCGGGGGTACCCAGCAGGGATCACAGCCACGAAGACTGGGGCTGAGTGTCCTCCAGAGGCCTAATCCGTTAGAAGAGCGCCTGAGACACAGTCTCTTGGGTTCTGTCTTTTACACCGGCCCCATACCTACTCAAGTCCCCCATCCCATATCCAAGTGACACTAGATTATTATGCACAGGGACAGCCACGGCACCAGCAAGCTTACTCGCTGGCTAGATTCCAGAAGTGGTGGCAGAGGGTTCGACACTAGTTACCTGCGGAGAACTTGCCATCTGCTCCACAAATCACAATGGCTTTTACCGCTCGGTCTGTTACAGCTTGCTGTAGTCTCTCTTTCAGCTGTTGGAGGACAGCCAGACTAAAAGAAATAAATTACAGGAAGCAAATTAGAATTCCTTTCTCCCACCTTGAGGTTTATTACCTTTCTAACATTGAAAAATTAAACACACACAGAATGAATGAAAATCAAAAGCGTTCACTGATTTGTTCAACAATTAATATACGTGTCCCTATCAATTGAGTACTGAGGTCATTAAGTAATCCAATTTTTTTTTTTTTTTAATTTGCTATAGGGCATGTGTGCTTGCTGGAGAGAGGGGGAAAGTGAGAAGGCCCAGGTAGGACAGCCATGGTGCAGTCCCCTCACTTCTGTTCTCCTCTGGGCTGTGGGACAGGCACACACACGCTTACTGTGCCTTCCAAGCCTAGTCCTAGGACTCAAACTACACAGTTGGCTCATGCAATTCAGCCCCCTCCAACCACTGGCTGGCCCGTGATTCCATTATTTTATTTTTAAGAATTATAGGGACTAGGAGTTAGCATAATGGCTATGTCGCTGGACTCCCACGTAGTCGACCGTGGTTCGAGTCCCAGACCCAGTGGCTTGGGGCTTTCTGTTTCTCTCTGTCTGGCGAGCGTACGTGCCCTATAGCAAAATCCTCTCCAAAAAAAGAAGAAAAAAAAAGAACTACTTTATTTATTATTATTCTTATTAATTTGCTATAGGGTGCGTGTACTCACCAGAGAGAAAGAAAGTGAGAAAACAAGCCACCAGGCCCAGGACTTAAACCATGGTCGGTCATACAGAAGTCCAGCACCTTAACCATCATGCCACCTGTTGGCCCTCAAGTGATTCACTTTTTAAAAATATATTATTGGGAACCAGCAGTTAGTGTAATGACTATGTCACTGGACTTCCACGTAGTCGACCGCGGTTCGCGTCCCAGATCCGGTGGCTTAGAACTCACGCTGGGTGCGTGTGCATGTGTGCCCAAGATCCCAAGAAGAGAATGGAAGAGAAGGGATTGCAGGGTGACCATCCCCCCTGGGGGGTGATTTCTCTCTTTCTGTCTCTATGTCTCTCTCTGTCTGTCTGGCGAGCGCATGCGCCCTATGGCAAAAACCTCTCCCAAAAAATATATATATATATATACATACATATTATTTTCCGGGACCAGTAGATGGTGCAATAGTTATGTCACTGGAGTCCCACGTAGTCAACCACAGTTTGAGGCCCGGACCCGGCAACTTAAAACTCAAAGCCAGGTGCATGTGGATATGTGCCTAAAACCCCGGGGGGAGACCAGAGGAGAAGGGATTGTGGCATGGCCATTCCCCTGGCGGGGGGGGAGGTGATACATACATATATATGTGTGTGTGTGTGTGTGTGTATATATATATATATATACTTTTTCTTCACTGAGTTTTAACTTTGAACACTTAGAATCAGCACTAACCAATTTTAAAGTATTGTTTTATGTCTTCTATGCACAATGCAAGAAGTTATCTGATAAATGTACACAGTTTATGATATAAGGCACACTTAAATGAGTGCTATAATAAAGGAACAAAAAAGTGAAACGTGGGCCAGAGGTGGTGCAGAGTAATGGTGCTCGATCCCACATGGCCAACCGTACAGTTCAAGTCCTAGACCCGGCAGCTTGAAAAACAAGCTGGGCATGTATGTACATGCCTGAAATCTCAAAAAGAGAATGGAGGAGAAAGGATTGAGGTGTGGCCAGCCCCACCGAGGGGTCGTCTCTCACTTTCCCTCTCTCTCTGGCGAGCACACACACCCTACAGCAACAAACAAACAAACAAAAGTGAGACAAAGGGCCCAGCTGGTAGTGTGGTGATTGAGCTAGCTGGATCCCACATGGTCAACTGAGCAGTTCAGATCCTGGACCCAGCACCTTGAAAAAGACACTGGGCATGTGTGTGTATGGGGGGGGGATACCAAGAGAACAGAGAAGAAGGGATTGTGGCACCCCTGGGGGGTGATTTCTCCCCCCCCCCCACATCTGCATCTCTCCAGCAAGCATACATGCACTATAGCAAAAACTTTAAAAAAATAATAAAAAAAAATGTTTAGAGGGGGATAAATTCTTTTTTTTTTTTTTTTGAGAGTCTTTTTGCTATAGTGCGTGTGCGATTGCCAGAAAGACAGAGACAGACAGAGAGACAGAAAGCGAGAAATTACCCCCCAGGGGGGATGGCCACACTGCAATCCTCTCTCCTCCATTCTCCTCTGGGGATCTTGGGCAGCACACACATGCGCCTGGCATGAGTTGAAGCCACCGGGTTCGGGACTCGAACCATGGTTGACTACATGGGAGTCCAGTGACACAGCCATTATGCTAACTGCTGGTCCCAAAATGACTTTCAAGTTGTCATACAGTGTGGCCATTCCCCCTGAGGGATGATTTCTCACTTTCCCTTTCTCACACTGTCTCACTCTGTTTCTGTCTGGCAAGTGTACACGCCCTATGGTAAAAACCTAAACGGTCAAAACAAACAGACAAGAAAAACGATTTGTCATATTGGTAAATTATAAGAACAATGAAAGGACAAACAGTCTAGAAGATGTGGCACACGGGCCGCTGTGACCTCCAATATCCACTCTCTGCCTTCCAAGTATTAAAACACTGGTTTTAGCTGGAAACATGGTTGCCCAGAACAGAGACATTTCCCAGCCTGCTTTGAGTAAGGTGTGCCTGGGGCACTGAGGACTGGCCAATGCCCTGGAAGTATATTTGCCACGTGCTTTGGGGAAGTGTGCTTAAAGGACTGGGTATGCCTCCCTCTTTCTCTTCCTTACCTGCTCTTGGCAGCAATTGAGCTAAGAGCATAAGTAGCCGTCTTGGAAGAAGTAGAAGCCACGTACTGGGGACGGCAAGGTGAAAGACGGACAAGTGCCACCCTGGAGCCTGTGGCGCGGCCGCAGCATTCCAGGACACCACTGCTTAACTCATTGCGATTTTGAGTTTTCTGTTATTGACAGCCAAACAAAATGCTAACTGACGAGGTAAAGGCAAGGTCCAGAAAAGCTAAGGCTGACAGCAGGTTCTGCCAAGTATATTCTTTGCAGTATACGATGGCGTCTTCAAAGGGAGAGAGCGCGCCGAAGCCAGCACGGAATGCATTCACCGGCAGAAAAGGAAAGCGTGCCAAAGGCAGATCCTCGGACGCATTTTCACTTAAGAAGCAGGAGAAGCTCGGCAGAGTACTTTAGCACCGGGAAAATGCAGTCACAAAGGCCAAGAGAGCAGAGTTCACCAAGAAGCAGGCGTCAGTAAGCGCGGAAGGATGACGGAGGAGGGACCAGCAGTTAGCGTAATGGCTGTGTCACTGGACTCCCACGTAGTTGACCACGGTTCGAGTCCTGGACCCAGTGGCTTAAACTCACGCTGGGCGCATGTGTGTGTGTGCCCAAGATCCTGGGAGGAGAATGGAGGAGAAGGGATTGCGGCATGGCCATCCCCCCGGGGGGCGATTTCTCACTTTCTGTCTCTGTCTCTCTCCATCTTTCTGGCAAGTGCACATGCTCTATAGCAAAAACCTCTCCAAAAAAAAAAAAAAAAAAGGATGATGGAGAAGAACCTAGGAAAAGTGGGGAGAAATGATTCAAAGTGAAAACAATAACCAGATTCCACTCTGTCTTGCCTTGGAATTCTGAGTATTCTGGGTAAAATATCACTTCTTAAGTACATGGTGGGGGGGAGGAGGGGGAGTCTTAAAACAAAAAAACAAGAAACTTCTATAAATGGCAAGTTGTTAAGACCAGAAACTGTAAGTTAAAATGTCAGGAAACAAGGGGGAAACTTGCCTTTGTATATGACAATCTCTTTTTACCTCATTACTTTTCACGTCTTAGCCTAGATGAAATCAAACAAAACCTCTTGCCTTCACAGGTTAATCAGAAACCAGGTGAATAATGAAAAACAGACTCTGAACCATTATGCAATATTGAGAAGTCCAAAAGACATATTTTCCTTCTGGGTAAATGGCAGCTACAAAATTAGCTTAATCAGGGCCACTAAGAAGAGACTGACATTTCCCATTTCAACCAAGCTCTCCTCTTTCGTTTCTTACGTCATTGTTAATTTTGCAAAAATAAAAAATAGTGGGAACCAGCACTTAGCGTAATGGCTATGTCGCTGGACTCCCATGTAGTCGACCGCGGTTCGCATCCCGGACCTGGTGGCTTAAAACTCACGCCGGGTGCGTGTGCGTGCATGCCCAGGATCCCGAGAGGAGAATGGAGGAGAAGGGATTGTGGCGTGACCATCCCCCACTGCGGGGGTGATTTCTTGCTTTCTGTCTCTATGTCTCTCTCTGTCTGGCGAGCGCACGCCCCCTATAGCGAAAACCTCTCCAAAAAAAGAAAAAAAAAGAAAAAATAGTAAAAGAAGAAGAATGAAAATGGCTGCAACAGATGCAGCGTTCCTAGATTCAAGCTGCCCGAGCAGCGGCCTCATAGCAGTGTACAGGCCACAGGGACTAGGAAGTCATGTTCTGCCCTTAGTACTGCCAGGTATGGAGGAACGGAATCTGGAGGACAGGTGTATTTCATGAAAGCTGACCAAAATTCTTCGGCTCCTTTAACCATCACAGCAGGTCCTTCTTTTTTAAGTTTCTTTCATTCATTTTTGCATGAGAGAAAGATGAGCGCCCCCGGCAGGCTCTCATACTGCCACCCCCTCCTAGCCAGCCAGGACCATGGGCAGACATGCACCGTGCCCTCTGGTATGTATGCGTCAACCCAAGAACAGAACCCTGATCTTTCAGATGGCCTCCACACTGCAGGGTGCAGTGTTACCGGTGCACCAACGGGACTAAGCCAAGCCTCTCTCTCTCTTCCTCTCTCTCTCTCTCTTTTATTTTTTTCCCCAGATTTTGCTATAGGGCCACGTGCTTGCCAGACAGGGAACACGAGAGAGGAAAAGTGAGAAATCACTCCCCAGGGAGAAAGACCATGCCACAGACTCTTCTCCTCCAGTCTCCCCTCAGGATTTTGGGAGCACACGCGTGGACACACACACACACTCATGCCCAACATGGTTTTCTTTCTTTCTTTCTTTCTTTCTTTCTTTTTTTTGTTTGAGAGGTTTTCGCTATAGGGTGCGTGCGCTCGCCAGACAGACAAGAGAGAGACAGAGAGACAGAAAGCAAGAAATCGCCCCCCAGGGGGGATGGCCACACCGCAATCTCTTCTCCTCCATTCTCCTCCCAGGATCTTGGGCACGCACGCACACATGCCCGGCGTGAGTTTTAAGTCACCGGGTCCAGGACTCGAACCGTGGTCGACTACATGGGAGTCCAGTGATATAGCCATTACGCTAACTGCTGGTCCCCCAACATGATTTTCAACTGCCAGGTACAGAACTCGAACCATCGAACCAAGGAGCCAGCCATGTGAGATCCAAAACCTTAACCTCACACCACCTGCTGCCCACCGAGTCTTTCGTTGACAGCTCTTTTTCTTTTTTTTTGGTGAGGTTTTGCTATAGGGTGCATGTGCTCGCCAGACAGACAGAGAGAGACAGAGAGACAGAAAGCAAGAAGTCACCCCCCAGGGGGGATGGCCATGCCGCAATCCCTTCTCCTCCATTCTCCTCTCAGGATCTTGGGCACGCACGCACATGAGCCTGGCATGAGTTTAAGCCACCGGGTCCAGGACGCGAACCGCGGTCGACTACGTGGCAGTCCAGTGACATAGCCATTACGCTAACTGCTAGTCCCAACAGCTCTTTTTTTTAAAACCAGTGGTCATCAAATCAAGTCTGTGACATGTAACCACCATTTTTTTTTCACACAAAGAATAGAAGAGGAAAAAGAATATATTATTGAGTTGTTGAAAAAATCATGATGCATTCTTTTCTATGTTTTTCTATGCAAAAACGCATCATAGCTTTTCTGATACATACAAGTGTATGTGCTCTATGACAAAGAAATACAGGTATAACAGGTATTTTGCTTTATTCTGAGAATGGCAAGTAAATAGACATATCCTTGTGTAATTTTATTTCTGTCATTTTGGGGATCATTGTATATAATTCACATTAAAACAGGAACTATCATAATAACATTATTAATTAATAGTATTGATAATTACTATATTTATACTACTAATAAAATGAAATCTGATGATAGTGGAAGGAAAAATTAGCAGTATCCTCATTTCAGTCTCTCTTTGTTCCAAAAGCACGTGCCAAGAATTAGGACCAATAGTATTTCTATCTTCACTTTATATATTCCTTGCAAATTCTAATTTCCACTATTCCTACTTAGTGTGTATGGGTGGCTCCAAGACTGACATAATTATACTTTTTTTCAGAAACATGGAAGGGTCAAACCAAATTGACTTCATTAGTTTCCAAAAAAGCAGCATTGGGGACCAGCAGGTGGGGTAATGGTTATGTCACTGGACTGCCATGTGGTCAACCGCAGTTTGAGCCCCAGACCCAGCATCTTGAAACTCACACTGTGCACGTGTGCATGCGTACCCAAAATCTCGAGAGGAAAATGGAGAAGGTATTGTGGTGTGGCCACCCCTCTGGGGAGTGCTTTCTTGCTTTCTGTCTCTCTGTCTGTCTGGCAAAAGTGCACGTGCCCTATAGCAAAAATCTAAGAAAAAGCAGCATTGATCACTTTCTCTTTCCCCAAACAGTGAGTGTACTCACTGGAGAGAGACAGAGAGGGAAACTGAGAAATCATCCCCCATCCTGTGGGGATGGCCACACCACAATCCCTTCTCTGTTTTCTCTGGAGTCTGGGCGTGCATGCATGCGTAAGTGCCAGGCATGATTTTCAAGCCACAGGGTCTAGGACTCAAACCATGAAGTCGGTGATGTGGATCCAGTGCCTTAACCATCTGGCCACCTGCTGGCCCTAATCTCCCTTTTAAAAGTAATGCTCTGGGGGCCAGCAGATGGCATAGCAGTTACATTGCTGGACTTTCACATGGCCAACTACAGTTCAATCCCCAGATCTGGCGGCTTGAAAATTATGCAGGGCACATGTGTGTGCATGCCCAAGGGCCCAGAAGGAGAATAGAGGAAAAGGGATTGTGGCGTGGCCATTCCTGGGGGGGGGGGGGGTGAGTTCTCACTTTCCCTCTTCCTGTTTCTGTCTCTGGTGAGCACATGCACCCTAAAGCAAAAATCTATAAAAAAAAAAATAAATAAATACAAAATAAATAAAAGTAATGCTCTGCACCAGCAGGTGGCACGAAGGTTAAAGCAGCTGGGTCTTACACGGCCACCTGCCTGTGTGCCCCAAATCCAGACAGAATGGAGCAGTTATGATCTGGCCATTCCCAAGGGTGCTTTCTCACTCTCTCTCTCTCTTTCTGGCTAGTGCACTGGACCCTAGAGCAAAATTTTTAAAAAGAAAAGTACTGCTTTATGTGCATTACACAAGGGAAGTATCCCGTGGCGAAATAAAACAAGACACACTGCACAGCCTCTCAGAAAATAGGCTAACTCTGACTTGGATCATCCACAGAAGCACTAAGGCCCTGAGATTTAAACAGACAGGGAGAAATCGTTGTGCATTTCTGGGCCACGACCTAACTCTCCTTCACTCACTAGGCTGGCGCTAATGGGGACCTTAATTTTTTAAAAGTTAAATAATTTTATTATCCAATTCCTAGAGCGTTTAGCCACACACCGGAAGGGGAGCCTGGACTGGAAGTTGGGGAGTGAGGCTGAACCAGAGTGCAGCCTTGTTGGGAGTTGAGATCTCTGGAGTACAAAGTCCCCCCAGAAGCTGAAGTTGCAAGCAAGCGGAATTCTGCTCGCAGCCGCACGGACAGACCCGCCGCAGCGCGGCCCCCATGGCAGTCACCGCCTGGCTCTCAGCCAGGTTCCTCGCCAGTAACGGGATGAGCGTTCGCTCTGAGGATCGACCGCGCTAGTGTGGGTTCAAAGGCCCTGGCGCCCACCAGCGGCTCAGTCTGTGGCTTTTCACCGAAACCAGCGGGGAAGGCCCCGACCCCGGAGCCGCCAAGCGCCCAGGCCCCGGCGGTCCCCCGGCCGGGCGCCCGTTACCTCAGCGCGTTGACCGGCGGGTTTCGGAGGCGGATCAACGCCAGGCAGTCGTGCAGCCGCGTGTACTCGGCCATGTTCGCTCGGTCGC